CGAGAAGGAAGGCCCATGGGCCCTTGTCCTTTTGGGCTTTTTCTAATCTCATTGGACTCTACTTATCGGCAAAATATCGGCTTAAAAGCTTTGAATCACTTCGAACGGTTCCCTCGTAAGTGCATTCGAATCGCATTAAATTTTAAGAATATATTGGAACTATAGTGAAGCAACTATGCTAAAGTTTTCAACCCTAGATCATGACGTTTTCAACAGATATTCAACATACAAGGATAAAAAATAACACCGTTGACAATCCAAAATTCTCTGTGGATTTTCATTTCAGAGATAAAATCGATCTAGATTTTTCATAGCTGATCTGAAATCCATACCGATATTGTACTGACGAGTTCTCGTTTCATGACACTTCCTGTATGAGATAATAAAAGTAAAAGAAAAATCAATTCAAAAATGTTGGCTTAAGCCGAGATGCTAAATAAAAAAAAGTCATGCCAGATATGAAAGATCAGATCTCGGACTGTCTTTCAATGTATTCATCTTGATTTCGATTTTTCTGGCGAATGTTTCTCAATTGAATTAAATTTGCTTTATTCATCAAACTTCTTTTTTTGGAATGACAGTACAATAACCACAGACTTCGAAAGGCCCACCTTTTTTGACTCTCATGTTAGTTGAAACACTGTCTGTTATCTTCCACACGAATAACTAACTATGATCAGTACTACTTATTTTATTTTTCAATTGAAAAATTTTCATTATTAATATAATATTTTCTAGTTTCTTTCAATTGCTCAATCTGAACGTAATGCTTTAACAGAAAAATTATCAATAACCAAAGATGATTTATTACGTTTACAAGTTGAATTTGATAAAATACGTCGTGATGCTGCATTGCATCATGAACAAGATCGACAAGTGATATTATCATTGCAGGATGAATTAAAAAAATTTCATATTAAATTTGAAGACGCAACTATAGCTAACGATCGTGATGTAAAAACATTAACTGATGATATTGAACAATTACGACAACAACGACAATTACAAAATCATGAAAATTCTGAATTAAAAACACAATTAAAATTAAATGAAGAAAATCGTGATCAATTAAAACGTGATTTAATTGAAAGTAATCGACGTATAAGAGAATATGAAGAAAATCTAACATTACAACGAAAAGAAATACAAGATTTAAAACGTTATTTACAAGATGAACAACGTGATAAAGAATTATCATTACGTTCAAGTGATGATTTACGTACAAAATTAAAGAGTGTAGAAAATGAAAAAATTGATTTAAGACAATTATTAGAAGAAGCTAAGCAAAGAATTCTTGGTAAATATTAATTTGGTCATTGAAAAATTAATCTTTATTATAGATCGATAGACTTATAGGTCATATCAGACAAAATCGAACACAGCCATCTTTTTCATTTCTAATGTTGGTTTTTTTCAGGATATTTAAAGTAATTTAACATATAGAAATTAGCTTGTGAAAAGTTTATTATCCCAAGATACACGCGTTTTTATTTTACGAAATCCCGTCACTTATGAATGATTTTGTTCATCTATTTGATAGAAATGATGCTTATCATTTCTATCAATTCAAACTATTCTCGTGATATATAAATTTATAGAATTCAAAACTGAAAATTGTTAACCTGCAACGGATTATTGAAATTTCTGCAAACTCAATCGGATTCAAAAGATTCTATATGCATCAGAACCATCTTTTTCTTTGAAAAAGAGAAGAGGATTTAGTTTTGAATCGATATTCTAATAGATTTCAATTTATTTGAAAGAGTTTTAAAATATAAATAAGTTAAATTCTTCTATATATATATATATATTTTAGTACTCGATGAACAAAGATCTCAATGTCTAAAAGATGCTAATGATCTACGTCATAATTTACGTGATGTTGAACGTTCACGATTAGAAGCTCGACGTGAATTACAAGAATTACGTCGTCATGTTAAAATGCTTGATAGTGAAACGAAAAAGAAATCTAAAGAATTAGAAGAATTAGCCGATCGTGTACGACAAGATGAACAACGTGAAGAAGAAATGCGTCGTGAAGTATTTGGACAAAAACAAAAATTTGTTGAAGCTGAAGCATCACGAGAAGTTTTACGTAAAGAATTAGCTAATATTCAACGACATTATGTTGAATTAGAAGATGAACAACGAATGAAAGAACGAGATTATAAATTAGCTGTTGAAGATGCTCGACGTCTTGGTAACGATTGAGAAATTTTAAAAAATCCATCGGAATAGCTTTATAATTAGTTTATTTTTACTTATAGAACGTAAAGCAATAGAAGAACGACGACATGTTGAATTAGCACTAGAAAGTGCAAATCAAATGATTTCTGAATTACGTATTGCATTATCAGGTGCTGAAGGACGAGCAAGTGCACTTGATACACAATTAGCACGGTAATAAGATTTTTTTTACTAGAGATGTGCGGGATTAAGTTTTTGTTTCTGAGTCCAATAAATTCTTTTATAATGTTCTCAGTTATGGATTCGGCAAACTTTATCTAGTCTTGTTTCCGGTGATTTTAGTTTTTCTGTTTCTAGTCTAGAGATAACTAATTCAGAATTTCTTCAATACAGAAATATTTTGTTTTCTTTAGTGTGGAAGGAGCTAAACGTGATGCTGAATATAAATTAGGTAGTATTGTATCAAGTTTACGTCGTACAATTGGTTATGGTTCACGTAGTCGTAGTAGTGCACGACTTCGAAGTCGTTCACCAAGTCCAGATATTCGTCGTCGACCAATATCACCAACAAAAGGTTTTGATAGTATTGAAAATCGAGCATCACCTATATTACGACGAGTATCACGTAGTCCACATCATCGTTCACGTTCACCAGGTTATGATGTTGAGCGTGCTCGTTCACCTGGTTCAACATTTGTTGATGTAGCTGATATTGATCCAGAACAAATTCGTTCAGCATTAAGAGATTTTGTTCAAAGTTTTATTTCTACTGAACGTGATCGAGATGATTGTGCTTGTAAGATATAGAAATTTTGAAAAAAAAATCAATATTTAATTATTGATTTATTATTAAGCTGAAGCTACACAATTACGTCGAATTAATAAAGAACTTGAAGATAATCTGTCAAGAGCAGAACTACGATATAATCAATTACAAAAAACACTCATGTCATTTGAAGAAGGTATGTTAACTATAAATTCAATATTTAATCTGTTTGATTATATGAACTATATATTCAGTTGTTATTTTCGTTTTTTTTGCTCTTGTTATGAACATTGAAAGTGTAAGAAAAGCTGCTGATGATTAAAAATTTTCCTTTTGATTATATTCTTCATTTGTTAAAAATTATTCGAAGTTAATTTTTATATTCTTTTTTTAATAGACAAAAAAGGTATCGATACTCGTTTACAAAGTGCTCAAAGTGCCTTATTATTACATGAAGATACTATTCGACGAAGTGAACGTGAACGTAAAACAATGATAGATCAAATAACTGCACTTGAACGACAATTATTAGCTATGGAAAATGAAAAGAAACAAATTATTGTAAGACTTTTCTCTAAAGAATAGTCCAGAAATTCTGACACGTTTCGAATAAGAAATGTTTTTGTAGAACTGTCTCTATAATGAAAATACACTGTAAAACACACCTTGAAAGGACTATAAATAGACTCTAATAGCTCATTGAATAAGGAAACTATAAACCTTATAAATTCTTTTATATTCAGAAGTAAAATCACTTTGTAATTATTTTAGGATAAACTGAATAGAACTCATTTCGTGTAGTATTTCTCTTCTTAAACGAGAAGATTCATATTTAGACAATAACTAGATTCTTGATCCCTAGTGAATCTACTCATTTCAGGGTATTTTAAGGGTTTTTGTTACTTGACTACAAAGTACTTCTAAATAGTGATCAGCAATGTAGTTATTGTTCAAATAGGAATTTTCCTTTTTAAAGCTAGAAATACTACACGATATTAGTTCTATCCAGTTAATCATAAAATAATTACAAAGTAATTAATTTTGTTCTACAAAACGAGTCTAGACTTCTGTACCAACTTTTACTTCTTGAAACTTATTTTAGCACGAATTTTTTTTCTTTTAATAGGAAAAAATGAGTTTATCAAAATCGGGTGAATCACGTTTATCCGATGAAAAACGACAATTAAAACGAGCGTTAGAAGAAAATGACGCTCGTACAACTGAACTTGAAATGATAAAACGAGGATTAGAAGGTGAAATTCAACGTTTAAATATGATTCTTACGGATAAAGATACTGAAATTCAAGTACATCAAGAACGATGTGAAACATTAATTAGACAAATTCAAGTAAAATTTAATCATCTAAAGAACATTGCTAGATTTAATGATCTATCTTGAACCAGCATACTGTCTATGTGATTTTGTAGAGCAGTTCTTCAATATTCTATAATTCATAACTTTCATCATTGCTGTCTCTATGCTTAAAACTAGCCCCTTGTTGCTTAGATCTAGACTATTTCTTGACTATATGATGTTCCAGTACATTCAAGTCTGTGCTACAAAACAAGTGAGTACCAACACATTGTCAACTTGCAAGATATTCCTATATGAAGGGGCTGGCATATTGATGATATCTTAACAATACTCAACCGTCCTATGAACAATTTTTATGTAACAATAATCAGCACGACATGTCTGACGAACGAATATAAACAACTCCTTTATAAAAGGAAACAAATTTTTTGATCACAGGATTCTTGATAATTTCTTTTAGAAAGTTTTGTTCTATGATATAGACTTCAACACACTAGAATATCATAGGCAGTCACAAACTTTGCACATGAAAATTTCAAGAAAACTTGATTTGTTATATACCATTCAATGTGTCGAAAATTGCTCTAAAAAACCACATAAACAGTATGTTGGTTCAAGATAGATCACCAAATCCAGTGGAGTCATTTTTCTTCGAATAGAATTTTTTTTTAATTTGATTATTCTATTTTAGGATCGTGAAGAAAAATGTCAATCATTACAATTAAGTGTTGATCGTCTTTCTTTAACATTAGCTAAAGTTGAAGAAGGAGAATCAAGTTTAAAAACTCGTGTACAATCACTTAATCAAACATTATCACAAACAAATTATCAAGCAGCTGATTTACAACAAAAGCTTGGTAGTTTACAAAGTGCTTTACAAAGTAGTGAAGCTGATCGTCGTGTATTACAAGATAAACTTGAACAATCACGGTACAATTAAAATGATTTTTTTTTCATTTAAAAAGTTAGAAAAAAAAATTTCATTATTCAGATCACAAGTTAGTGAACTTAAAAAACAAAATCATGAATTACTTGAACGTGTACATCATCTTCAAAATGAAGTTACTGATTCAGATATGAGACGACATGAATTAGAAAATCAATTACGAAATACGAATACAGTATGTAACCAAGAAAAACAAAAAAAGAAGAATCGAACTATTTATAATATATTTATGTTCTAGCTTCTTGTTCAACGTCAAGAAAGTGAACAAGAAGCAATTCAAAAGATTTCAATATTAACATCGGATAAACAAGCATTACAAGAGAAGAACGCTCTTTTACAACGACAATTAGGCAATCTTGATCTTGAAAAACGTGAAGCTGAAAGATCAAAATTACGTTTAGAAAAAGATAAAAATGTTCTAAAAAAAACTTTAGATAAAGTTTGTTTATTTTTGACGTTGTTATTTTTTTTTTCTTTGAATATATTTTATTTTATTTTAAAGGTTGAACGTGAACGTGTTGTTACTGAAGATATTGTTCGTTCATGGGATCGAACAGAATTCGATCGACAATTTCGTCGAATCGAAGAAGAAAATCAAGCTTTACAAAAACAAATAGAGCATTTACAAGCAGCTCTTAGCGAATCTGAACAACAACATGCACAACGGTAATTCATTTTCAAGAAAAATTAAATTTCATAGAGTATCTTTAAGTTCAATATGATATTATCTATGTATATAGTAGAGATTATTAAGTCTAACATTTTAAGACTTGAACTTAAATCGTATTTCTAATTTCAAGAAAAGTTTTTAGTCGAAATCTTTTCCGAGTTCTACTATAAATGTATCAGACACAGTTTGTCAGACAATCATCTTATAATAACCACGACATAATTGGCTGTTACATTTAGAGTATGATCGGCTAGGTCGGTCCCGGATCCGGGATCAATTCGATGGGTTCGAGTGTATAGAGTCAAATTTGAGGCTAGAAAAAAATGTTTACGATTATTAATTATTAAGAAGATTAATTTTTTTTGTATTTTATATTGATAGTCTAATTGATTTCACAACACGTAATAGACGTGAAACCGAGGCTGAAACTGAACGTATTCGAACATCTCAAACAGCTGCTGAACGTGCTTTAGAAGCACGAGAAAAAGCACATCGAGCACGTGTTAAAGGTCTCGAAGAACAAGTAATTTTAATATTCTATTTAGTATTTCTGTAAAATATTGAAATTTAATCATTAGATTACAGCATTAAAAGAGCAACTTCATCAAGAAATGCGTAAACGTCAAACATTTCTTACTCGTTCATTAACTAATGGAGATGAAATTAGTGCACTTCGTCGTGAAATTACTGATTCATTATCTTTTGTATCACAAGATCCACGTGGTCTTGATCCAGTCCTTTTAGATCATGAAACAAAACGATTAGCAGATATACATGAACCACCTGTACGTCATCGTTCACCAAATCGACGTACTCTATCACCATCTATTGCTGTACGTTCAATGAGAGCTGCAGCTACTGCAGCTGCAACATCGCCATCTCAAATCGGTTCTCAATCACCGAGTACACGCGCGAGATCATCACGGCCACGCTATTAAAAGAAAAGCCAAAAGATTCTACTAGACTTATATACTTTCTCGCTTAACACATAAAAATTTTGCCTATCTAGAGATATTAAAACAAAAAAGAAATTTCCTACATATACACACTCAAATTCTTTCAGAACAGTGTGACCAATCGTTGTGAAATATGGAAAAAAAAACATACAAGTATTTGTTAATAAGTCTTGGTAACAAATGGACAATAAAAACCAGTGTTATCATTTGCCAACAGTGAAATTTTCATTTCGAATTGCCTTAGAATAGATATTTCTTTTTGAAGCTGTATGAAAAAAAATCTTCTAATTAATCTCTTCTTATTGCTTTCGCATTTTGCTTCTTTTCACCTTTTTAATCTCAGAATGCCGTCCATTCGATTTTTTTTATTGTAGCCTTATCTAGAATAATTTTGCCTTGTGGATGTGTCAAATATTTTTTTTTGCCTTTTTTAAAAACCTGTTCTTTTTTTAAATATTTGTCATATTTATGTGATTAAGACATTCTTATCATAGTGCCTTGTCTCTTTAAATATACTCACTTATATTTCTATGACTCTATTTACATGCCTATCCTTTCTTGTGGCTTGTATTGCATTTTTTCTCCTATTACAAATAAACAAGTGAATTCTGAAATTTTTATTAATTAAATAAACTTCTATAGAGAATTTACAAAAAATCTTAAAGAAAAGACAACGCCATTAGTTTTTCTAACAGTTCAGTGTAATTGTACAAGGCTTTTATAGTTTTATTTGATCGTGATGCAAGTTTTACTTAGGGCATACCGACAGTACTGTCAGCTTCACACAAAAAAAAATCTGAGTTGCCTGCGACCGCAAAACTCGGAAAATGGTAGGAACATCCGGTTACAGTAGTTTCTAATCAAAACTAGAAAAATCTGGGCACTGGATTCGATCTTCTCTTACTTTTGAATTAAGAAAGAAGGATTCGTATCTTCAATACCTCTATTGATTTGAATTTAAAAAATATGATTGAATCATGAATCGCTATATAACAAAGCTATAAGCTCTTAATTTCATTTTCCTTCTATTTATGTCTCGCAAATGTCACTAAAATTCAAAAACGATTCCAAATATGCAGTTCCCATATTCTCACAATTTTAGCATACTTTTTTTTATGATGTAAGCGATGTTCAGGTACTGTGAATGAGTGGCCAATTTGGATTGTATCTTCTACGTTTATTGCAAGATGAATAAGTGATTATATAAGGAAATTATCAATTGTTAATTGTTATTTATCGTTTTTTTTAATATATTTTTGTATGTCTTTTTTTGAATTCTGTGTCAAACTGATTTAAGAAAAACGAGTTTCAGACAGAAACTTGTCATTTTGGCAAATTGAAAAAAGACAATATAATATAATATAATTATATTCTTTTATTTTTTGCTAGATGTCGACATTAAAATAATATATATTTGTCTGCTTTGGATAAAAATAGTAAGAATTTTCATTGATTTCATTCTATGTGTATATATATATATATTAATTATAATCAAAGATTTCCTTAGACACAAGAAAATCAAATATAAGAAGAAGAGTTTGCTTTTGTTCTTTGTTTTGCTTTACGTTGTATATTATTGTCTAAAATTTTTTAATGATTCACTACATAACATTATACACATGAGCTACATTCTATTGACATTGCGTACCCTTATAGCAGTATTTTATCTAGTTTAGGATCTGAACTTTTTCTGTTAGTCGGGTCCGAAAATTTTAGATCCGATGAGCACTATCAGCGTCCCTCTGAAGATCAAGTCAGCCCTTCCGAAATTTCACCAAATTTGAAAAAATGCAAAACGGTTTTTTGTTTTGTTGAGCATTGATAATTGTTCTACGTTTAAAAAAAATAAAATAACTCTTTGCTAGCTTACGGATTAGTTAGCTAGTACAATTGTCGAAAGTTTGACTACATGAACTTTAAATCGATATTTAATAGTCCTTATCAACCAGTACAGGTGTTATTTGTAATTCATTGACGCGCATCATTTTTTATTTTTTGTTTTCTTTCACAAAAATACCAATCCTTATGACTCTTCAAAAAAGTATTGAATTACTTCTTTTTTTTAGAAAGCTTTATTTATTAGACATTAAAACAATCAATTTGATTCTTTCCTGGTTTCCAGCATATTTTACACTAACAACATAATCTAATAAAATCGATTCTTGGTTTTTCTTTCAAACTAATTTTTTTTTCTATTTAGGTGTAAAATTAAGTGCTATCTAATATAATTTATTTCTAATCTAATGTAATTCATATATGAGCGAACATTTCACATCTATTTTATTATATTGAACATGTGGTTTCTATTTCTTATTCAATAAGGAAAACTAATGAAAAAACAAACAAAATTTTCTTCTTCCATTTAAATTTTTGTTTTATTGTGTGATATATTCTGTATATGTTTTGAAAACACAAAATAAGCGTTCGGTGTATATAAACATTGATTGGCGCTGCTTTTTTTAATTGTGTAGTTTTGTGCTTTTCTTTCATTCTTTCTTTCTTTTTTTTATTTAGTCGTTTTTTCTTCCTTTCCTATTTTCAGTTTTATATATATATTCCAAGAAAATGAAGAAAGCGTGCATGGTATCTCTGTTAGATTTTGTTTTCTTGTATTTAACATATGATGCAAAACGTAATTGAACAAATGTCGACCATCGATTACGCTTCAATAGACAAGTACTAAAAGAAAGCTTTTTTATTCGAAGATACCGAATTTTTCCTCTTAGTGAGTATAGATTCTAGCAAGCAGGGAGGAAAGGCCAACGACTTGACCCCTGTCCTGCCATGTTAGAACATGTTGCAGGGTGTGAGTATCGTACTCTTACAGTAAGAAAAACGATAGCAGTGAAGGCGAACTGACAACCAAATAAGATTGATCGCACAAATATTCAACAGAAACAAATGTTTCACTAATCAATTCTTTTATACATGCAGTTACTCAAATGTACATTTACAATTGTAATGTTGAGTTTTATCTTACTCTACAAAAAATTAATTGAAGTAATTGGTACTCAACAAGAACATTAATCTGTTCAATAAGGCTTGGATGATCTTAAAAAGCTGATACAAAAGTTTTGATCTTCCTCTAGTGCCACTCAAATCAGGGTGAGATTAGATTGTCAAAATGGAGTGCTTTGAAGTCCTCCACTAACTACGATTGAGAACGTTTCAATAGCAACTGACGATGATATGCACGAGATTCCTTTCTCAGAGTTCCTTAGCAAATCATAACTTGTTAGAAAAACTCCTCGGAAAATGGCTATCCCTCCATAGATATTCGCAAAAATAGTCAATTTTCGAACCGCCTATTTGTAAGAGCAAATCACTCAAAAATCAACCTGTTCGACTTTTCGATCTCTCAATCGAAACAACATGAATACATTAATATATGCAAGCTCTCTAAATTCTTTTTTATATATAAATACCTAAGAAGACATATGTTAGTCATACGCAGAGAAGTCAGCTGCACTTGATGAATATATTGTGAAGAAATGTGTTAAACTTCCTTCTCGTTTTTATTCGTTAATCTGCTTTCTATGTTATATAACCCAAAATATCAAGCAATTTTTTTCTCTATTTTCTCTCCCTCTTCGACATAAGATCTCACCACCCTATAAATTTACAATAATGACACTTTCACTTTTCATTCTTGTTATTTTATGCATATAGGGGTGGCACTTTATCTTTACTTTACCGGGTAAAGTAAAGTATTGAACTTTACTTTATTCGGTAAAGTAAAGTGTTGAACTTTACTTTATTCGGTAAAGTAAAGGGGGATCACTTTACTTTACTTTACTTTTTCAAAGTAAAATAAAGATAAAGTGCCACTCCTATAAGCATATCATTTTCTATTGACTATAATTCTTAATTTCTTTTTATCTTGCATTGTCAACCCCGTTTGATAAGGACAATAAAAGTCAACATAAAAAAAACAGCAAGTGGAAGTTGGAAAGAATAATCTTGAAATAAATTACGTTGTTGGGTTTTTTCTCTTTTATCTGTTGTTGATAACCGTTTTTTCAACGGAAACTAGGTGAAGCTTATCGTTAAGTGTCAACGAAAAACAAAACACCCACATTGGACGTCATACAAAAATCTAGAAAAAAAACATGGAGTATCGAATGTATAAATAGAAAAGCTGAACTCTGTCCAAATCACAAACAACTATTCATCATTCTGAACTACTGATCAAGCAACAACTCGTACTCAACATGAGTGAACAAAAATCCAAACAATGTGCTTCGAAATCAACAATGAATGCTGCCGCATGTACAACAGCATTCTCAAATACTGTCCAATCAAGACGACGGATAACTCAGAATTATTTGCTCATTTGGACAGATGGTAACATTGATGAAACAAATACAGACTGTCAAAATACACTTGCGCAATTGCGCAGTGTCGTCAATGAGGTTACAATCTGTACGGAACCGGCACAATGTATCAAGTGCCTCAATGATATGGATGACGAGAAAGCTTTCGTCATCTCTTCCGGTGCTTTAGGTCAACATTTGGTGCCACAAATTCACGGTATGCCGCAGTTAGATGCTATTTACATCTTCTGTGGCAATGAATCACAACACAAGGCATGGGCCAAAGAATGGCCAAAGATTGAAGGCGTATTTACGTCAATCAAGCCGATATGTGAGTCACTCAAAAAGGTCGCTCGTCAATGCAACCATGATTCAATTACGATGAGCTTCGTTCCGAAGCGAACTGTGATAGACGCAGCATCAATTGAAAAAAGTTTGGATGAATTGCCACCATCTTATATGTATTCCGTCCTGTTCAAAGAAATCATCTTAGAAATTCATGAAGATGATGTGAAGTCTGTAGATCAACTTGTGGCCTATTGCAGTAAACAAGACGTCGCCAAATCTCAATTGGAGTATTTTCAACGTGAATACCAACACAAATCAGTCGTCTGGTGGTATACCGAAGATATATTCCTCTATGGAATGCTCAACTATGGTCTTCGAACGCTCGATATGGAGATTATGTCAAAAATGGGCTTCTTTATCCGAAATCTCCATAAACAACTGGAGCAATTGCATAAAAAACAATCAAAAATGTACACGAAAAAATTTTTCGTTTATCGCGGTCAAGGACTCAGCCAGCAAGACTTCCAACATCTACGCGACACGCAAGGTGGTCTTCTCTCATTTAACAATTTTTTATCGACCAGCAAAAAACAAAGTGCAGCTCTGGGATTCGTCGAAACTAAACTTCACAAAGATAAAGAAATCGTAGGTGTTCTCTTCATCATGACAATTGACTCGAGTAAAATATCCTCGTCAAGTATTCCATTTGCTCTCATTGACGACTATAGTGCTTTTCCACAAGAACAAGAAATACTGTTTTCAATGCACACAGTATTTCATGTTGCTGGCATTAAACAAACTGTTAACAATAATCGCCTATGGGAAGTTCAATTGACTCTCACCGACGACAATGATCCACAACTATCTACTCTCACCAAACGAATGAAAGAGGAGATTGGCGGTACTGGATGGTATCGAATGGGTAGACTGATGCTCAAAGTAGGTCACTTCAATCAAGCTGAAGAACTCTACAATGAACTACTAAAGAATACTCCCAGCGACAGTGATAGAGCACATATTTATCACCAACTTGGAGTTATAAAAGACGGCCAAGGACAATATAAAGAAGCAATTTCATTTTACGAGAAATATTTCGCAATCAACCGAAAAACTCTTCCGGAAGATCATCCTTCATTCACTAATGCGTACAACAACATCGGTGTGGCGTATAAAAACATGGGTGACTACTCGAAAGCACTTGAATTTCATGACAAAGCACATAAAATAAACGAAAAAGCTCTGCCTCCGAATCATCCCGACTTGACAGGTTCCTACAACAACATCGGTAATGCGTATGACAGCATGGGTGACTACTCGAAAGCACTTGAATTTTACTACAAAGCACATAAAATCTACGAAAAAACTCTGCCACCGAATCATCCCGATTTGGCTACTTCCTTCAACAACATTGGTGCGACGTATAACAACAAGGGTGACTACTCGAAAGCACTTGAATTTTACGACAAAGCATTTAAAATCTACGAAAAAACTCTGCCCTCGAATCATCCCTTATTGGCTACTTCCTACAACAACATCGGTAATGCATATGACAACTTGGGTGACTACTCGAAAGCACTTGAATATTATGACAAAGCGCTTAAAATAAGAGACAAAGCTCTTCCTCCGAATCATCCCGATTTGGCTCGATCCTACAACAACATCGGCATGGCGTATAGCGGCAAGGGTGATTACTCAAAAGCACTTGAATTTCACTACAAAGCACATAAAATCTACGAAAAAACTCTGTCACCGAATCATCCAGATTTGGCTACTTCCTACAACAACATCGGTAATGCGTATGACAACATGGGTGACTACTCGAAAGCACTTGAATATTATGACAAAGCGCTTAAAATAAGAGAAAAAGCTCTTCCTCCGAATCATCCCGATTTGGCTACTTCCTTCAACAACATTGGTGCGACGTATCACAGCATGAGTGACTACTCGAAGGCACTTGAATATTATGACAAAGCGCTTAAAATAAGAGAAAAAGCTCTTCCTCCGAATTATCCATCATTGGCTCTTTATTACAGCAACATTGGTATGGCGTATAGCGGCAAGGGCGACTACTCGAAAGCACTTGAATTTCACGACAAAGCACTTAAAATAAGAGAAAAAGCTCTGCCTTCGAATCATCCCGACTTGGCTACTTCCTACAACAACATCGGTCTTGCGTATAAAAAGATGGGTGACTACTCGAAAGCACTTGAATTTTACGACAAAGCACTTAAAATAAGAGAAAAAACTCTGCCTTCAAATCATCCAGATTGGGCTCGATCCTACAACAACATCGGTATGGCGTATAGCGGCAAGGGTGATTACTCGAAAGCACTTTCATTTCTAGAAAAGGCACTTTCTATCTGGCAAAAATCGCTTCCGTCAACACATCCTTCAATTCAAACAACGATGGATAATATTGACTACGTAAAAAAGAAAAAGTAACTTTGTTTGTTTTTTCACTATTCTCGCTCGATAAATTCGTTTGAATTGCTATTCACTCCCTTTTGGTTTTTCTTGGCTTCTCATCGCGTACTTGCGACTAGGAAAACTCCCTGTAAACTTGAAATAGGTACACACAGAGCGGATCACGCCGAACAATGAACGTAGGTATGACATACAATAACGACGACAGGGACCTACGAACATAGGCGGCCTTCCAGAGTACTACACTGCTTTCGCCATAACAGGCACAAGAAATCTCCCTGAGTCAGGTTACGAAGTCACCTGACAGGCTGTGATGTAAAATGGTATTTCACTGTACTATACTATAGTACTGAACAATAACATAAGTATTACATACGAAAAAAAAAAGATTTTCTATTTTCATATATTATGATTTAATACATACATGTATATTAAAATACATTATTCCATCCAGAATAAATGATATATGTCTACCTTTTCTATTAGAAAAAAAATGATAAGCAACATACCTGGTTTGCGATTCAAATACTTAAATCATTGTATAAGTGAATTTAAAGTGTTACGAATCAACCGATACGATAACATCGAAGTCGATAATTCGACTTCGGAACATTGTAGAAGATTTTATATGATAATTTAAAAATGTGAATAACACAACATATGTAAATAATAATATGGTAGCATATGAATGTATAAGTTTTCATAATCATTGTAATAATTGTATATTGCACCTCGTTAAAGAAAAACATCAGAGTTACTTACTCCGTGTAATGATGATGAGATGTTCGATTGAAAAAAAGAATGATTTCATACAAGAAAATCATTCCTTATATACCCAGGAGGATCATTCCGGTCGTCTGAAAGGCCATCGGAAACGGCCTGAAACGGCTATTAAACGGCATAAAACGGCATTAATTTTCACCCTATTTCGCCGTAATCCGTCAGCTCGTTTTATGGGCCGTTTTTCTGCTAGAAAACGGCCATCGCTTTTAAAACTATTCTCTTCGTCTTCCGAGCTGACAGGAAACGGCGTCGTTTTTTAACGTTTTACATCGTTTTTATGCCGTTTCAGGCCGTTTACGGGCCGTTTTCTTCCACCTGGCTATGTTTTACAAAATAAACAGTCAGCCAATGGTGATGATTTTCATTGTATTCGTCAACGATCAATTCATCTCTCGATCTCTATTTTACAATGTTTTCATTGGCATTCATCTTTCTTTTTGTTTTCTTTCTTCATTTACTTTAAAAAATTTTCGACATGTGAATGTGAGACTTGTGGTCAATCATATCAACACCTACACTCACCCTTATAGAAATATTTCCAATGTTACATCTTCTATTTTTTCTACATAAAAAAATGCAACTGTATTCTATAGTTTGGTTCAATTCAGGGATGAATCTAGGATTTTAAAAGCGAAGTAAGATTTTCTTGTTTATGTCTAAAATATGATTTTTTAACTTAGTATAAATTGTAAAACAGTGTGAATTCTACTAGGTAAAGTCTCGCATTATTTTGTTACCATTTTCAAATATAACAAAATAGAATAAAAGCATCTTGTTCAAAATCATAAAATTACTAACAAAAACTGAATAAGCCATTGAGCGAGATTCGGTTGTGAACGTTTTGTGCTTCATTTTTATTTTTTCAGTAGTCGATGCCTGCGTGCAGAACTTGATTGTTCAAAGAAGACAATTCGAACGCTTAGAGAATAAAGTCTATGATAATAATTTCAAAAAGTGATGTTTACGACTTTTTTAATTTTTTTTGAAAGTTTTTGATAGCATGGATTCTTTTCATTAAGTCGTTTTTTTTTAAATTCAAATTTTACACAGGAATAAAAAAGCAGCAATTGTTATCTTCCCTTTGTTAATATACAATCTTTTCAGCAATCTCTCCTAGATTATAGTCTGATATTAAAAAATTTTGTGACCATTTACTATTGAATGAGTTATATTTTATTTATACAAATTACTGTAAGAACATAAGTAATTACAAATGAGTAACAAAAAAATAATGAAGATTTTGCAAAGAAAAAACAGCTCTGATCTAATATTTGATCCTTTTAAGCTTTCCTTCAACTTCATGTTTTGGGTGTGAGTGTGGGTCTAAAAGGAGAAAAGATTCACACCGTTATATAATGACAACACTTATCATGATCAACTTCAATCACAAAGGTACAACATCTGTCGTTAAAATGAAAAATTTCCCGACTGTCAAAGTAAAAGAAATCCCTTTTTTGTAAACATCTATAATTTTTAAAGCATTGAAAGAAGAAGCAAGGCTATACTATAAGCTGAAAATAGTGTTATATAAAAAACGAATTATATACAAACAGAAGGAGATCACACCACGGATGTCTCGAGGTCACAAAAGTTAGGAGAACGGATCGATCACTTAGGAAGTCGATTGAAAACATTTTGCTAAAAATGACCGGATTTTAGGACGAGGACGGGATTTTTTTGAAAATTGGTGAGCAAGTAAAAGAAAAAATACTTGAATTTTGCTGTGAAAAAACGAAAATTGTTCAAGATTGGGAAAGTTACTCCCTGGTGGGAACATCCCTGGATGAGACATGACAAGTATTTTATGATGCAAATGCTGGTGAAGCTACAGTAGAAAGTTGCTTCTCTTGTCACACCCACACCCTTTCTACCAGGAGAAATTTTCGAAGAGGAGTAGACGAATGAAACATATTTCGTACTTCTATAAATTTTTAATTGATACTTTATCTCAGATAATATGGATCGCTTGATTCACTACACTCTAGTTTCTCTGACAGTAGTTTAGTCACACCAGTAATCGATCATTCGGAGAAGAACGGCTTGACAAAAAAAACTGCTGGAGATTTTTCATAAATCTGCTGTGGTTTGGCCAAGAAACGTCATAGAGAGCTTCTGAACATCCAATAGTACTTAGGTCTAATCAAAAGTTCTGAGAACGCTATTGGCAATTTTATAAGCCAACTAACATCGAAGAATTTTTTGCATGAATAAATAGTGAAATGTCTTGTCTATAACTATGTATGTAGTAACTCTATTTTGGACTTAGTTACAATATCTTTTTCAGATAAACTTTAATTCGACCGTAAAAATTTTTTTTTAACTGGATAATGAATTTGATCGATACTATATAAAAATTCGGACTATTTTGGGAATAGATCCAAAGACAATTCATGAAGAACTTGCAACAGCTTTGGAACCCAATGCTCCATCATATCAAACAGTTGCAAGGTGGACAGAGCGTTTTCGTGAAGGAAGAGAAGATGTCAATGATGATCCTTGATCTGGTCGTCCAGTATCCGAACTTACAGATGAAAATATTGAATTGGTACGACAGGTTATCAACAATGATCCATACACAATTTATGATGATATTATAGCTAACACTTCTCTTTCTTATGGTACAATAGAACGAATTATTCATGACTGTCTCAAGATGAAAAAAGTTACATTTCGTTGGGTACTCCATCAACTGAAGGATGAACAAAAGAAAGAACGAGTTAGGCTTTATCGTGAAAATTTAGCGAAATTTCGTGGTGGTTCATGGCAATTATGTGACATTATAACAGGTGATGAGACGTGAATTTACCATAGGCAGATTCATGGCAAGTCAACAAACACAAGCTGAGTTGGCGAAGGTGAATCACTAACTACTATCGTTTGTCGAAGTAAATTTGAACCAAAAAATTTATTTTCTATATTCTTTAAATCCAATGGTCCTATTCTTATACATGCTATTGATGAAGACAAGACTATAGATCACAAATATTATATTGAAAATTGCCTCAAGCCTGTTATCAAGGAAATATGGAAACAAAGAAAGTCAGCAGGTACCAAAAGTATAAAATTGCTTCACGACAATGCTCGACCCCATACTCATTCCGATGTTATTAATTATTTAACAGAAGAAGGTATTATTATAATGCCGCATCCACCATATTCACCTGATTTTGCACTATGTGATTATTGGCTAAATGATTATATCAAGCATCGTTTAACTGGCCAACCAAATAAAAAATCATTGGCTTGTGAGGTATCCAAGGTGGTGAAAAATATTCCAGAAGAAAAATTTTAAAAAACGTTTGACAAACTATTACAAAGGATGGAACTTTGTATAAATAATCATGGTGACTATTTTGAACATTTAATAAAATAAAACTCGAAGTTTCTCTTTCTCTTTATATTTTTTTTAACAATCTCAGAACTTTTGGTTAAACCTAAGTAGCAATGATTGTTGTTATATGTATATTAGACAGTACATTCCCATCATGTATCTTCTCTATGGATAGGAAAACATTTTATTTAAAAGAAACAATCTTTTATTACTTAACATTAAGATTCAGATGTGCTTATTATGTCTTACGAGAGAATTGAGTAGAAGATTCACTTCGAGCTTGGAAAAAAAAATAAAGATGCACACTGCAGCTAGTATTTAAATTAGAAATAGTTATATGAATCGATTTCGATATTATTTCAGTTGAAATTAAGTGGAAAATAGGAAAAGTTAATGATAATTTTGACTGTTATGTTTTCAACATGTTCATTAAGATAAAACATGAGAAATTGAACAAAACCTGGATTAACCTGTAGGAAAGAAAATGGATGGATTAGAAAATGCGAAAAAACACGTAGGATATCTTGGAGCTGGATTCGAGTATTCCGTAACTGGATTCGTCTGTAGGTTATACCAAAGCCTGGCAATGGTATACCAAGATAGATCTTGACGAGTTCTATCAATTCCACTATTTACTTTATTCCCAACCCCTTCCCTTCATGGAAAAACGTTAAAAAAAACCAACGAAAAATCACGAAAAAAACAAGCATTTTTTGTAAACCGCACCTGGATTCGCCTGTAGGTTAGATCAAACTCTAATAAGGGTATACCAAGATAGATCCCGTCGAGCTCTATCTAATGGACACCTTTTCAACCCTATTCCACCCTTTGATCTCCTCCTAAAGGGCAAATCCTGCTCAGAATCTGGATCTTCCAGGTATATCGCACCTGTATTCGCCTACAGGTTACACCAAACTCTAATAATGGTATACCACGATAGATCTTGTCGAGCTGTATCTAATGAACGCCTTTTCAACCCGATTCCACCTTTGAATCCCCCCCCCCTAAAGGGCAAATCTTGGCCAGAATCCGGATCTTCCAGGTATATCGCACCTGGATTCGCCTACAGGTTATACCAAAGCAAACAAATGGTATATCAAGATAGATCTCGTCGAGCTCTATCTAATGGACACCTTTTTGACCCGGTTCCACTTTTGGATCCCCTCCTAAAGGGTAAATCCAGATTTTCATAATACAATTATTGAAATTGTCTAAGTTTGTCATTGTCTTTGTGAAGCAGATGCACAACAAACCGTCAATAAATTTTATTATTTTTTCAAAAAAAAGCGTAAATTATTTTTTAATTTAGTTTTGGTTACAGTTAACATGTTAACTTCCATCTTGTTTTCTTGTAGCGAATTGTTAAAATACAAATAACGGAAATGACAATACGACAACAATATCTTTCTATCTATCTTTGTTTGTTTTCTTGATACAGCACGAGTATGTGGAGAGGAAAAGACAAAAAATCTATTCAGGAATAACTTCTCATCCACATGGAATTACAGATAGAGAACGAAAAAAATATTTGTTTAATTATCACGATCGTCCTCCTCGTATTAGTCATATATGTGGGTCCATAGGAAAGGAAAAGAATTCCATTGGTTTCATTCCTCCGTACGATAGGATGGAAGAAAAGAAAGATGACGCGTCGTCCACGTTGTATCATACAGATGTACTCAATTTTTTTTAAGAAATGATAAATTTCTTCAGATATCTACATAAAGTTTTCGATATTGTTAACTGTCGTTATTTAATTATTTTCAACCTGTAGGCGAATTCAGGTGCGATATACCTGGAAAATCCGGATTCTGACCAGTATTTGCCCTTTAGGTGGGGATCCAAAGATAGAATCGGGTCGAAAAGGCGTCCATTAGATAGAGCTCGACGAGATCTATCTTGGTATACCATTTATGTACTTTGATATAACCTGTAGGCGAATCCAGATGCGATATACCTGGAAGATCCGGATTCTGGCCAAGATTTGCCCTTTAGGGGGGGATTCAAAGGTGGAATCGGGTTGAAAAGGCGTTCATTAGATAGAGCTCGACAAGATCTATCTTGCTATACCATTATTAGAGTTTGGTGTAACCTGTAGGCGAATCCAGGTGCGATATACCTGGAAGATCCAGATTCTGACCAGGATTTGCCCTTTAGGAGGGGATCAAAAGGTGGAATAGGGTTGAAAAGGTGTCCATTAGATAGTGCTCGAGTAGATCTATCTTGGTATACCGTTATTAGATTTTGGTCTAACCTGCAGGCGAAGCCAGGTGCGGTTTACAAAAAATGCTTGTTTTTTTCTTGATTTTTCGTTAGTTTTTTTAACATTTTTCCATGAAGAGAAGGGGTTGGGAATAAAGTAAATAGTGTAATGGATCGACCTCGTCACAAACTAGCTTAGTATACCCGTCC